ATTTCTCGGTTTATTGCCCCCTTAGCACTGAAGTAATCGAAGGGGGAGGGGTGGTAGGAATAGCTATACGGACATAGCCTGGAAGGAGAGGACGAATTTCGGGGAAAATGAAAATTGCTTACATGATCCCTCCCTCCCCTCCCGCCAAGGGCTTAGTCCCAGATGGAGGCTAAGAGGGGTGTTTGACGGGTGTGTCGGGCTCTACACATAAGGAGGCATCCCTCAAGAACAGCAGTGTCCGGCCCTCTCTCCTATCCAAACGTTGTCAGTGCTATGCATCGCATCGCCCCGCACTCTTGTTGTACGCAATTCTCCGTCGCGAGGACGCCTTATTGCACAACTTTTTCAAGTCATCACACTTTTTCCTCCACATTCTTTTCTTTCAGGATCATTCTTACTGGAAGGAGTTTTCTTTCTACGTGTCTGTTCAGAAGATCTGTTTGTTCATTTACTCGTATTTTGCATTATCTTTCTAGCATGTAATCTAACGAACTTGGTTGGTGTTTGGGTTAATGGATTTATTCAATAACCTTAATGTTTGAGGTCCATTAAATCACTGTAGAACGTTGTGATGTCACTGCTCAGTTTATCGACTCGTCAGCCGGATCTTTTGGCTCAGCCAGGCACGGATGAAGAGAATTTCAAGCAAACCCCCAATGTTACCAGACTTAACTTGGAAGCACCTAAAAATGTTAGTTCGACTTTCTTTCATGGAGCCATGCTATTCCGTTCTAGTGTGTAAATGTTCGATGCTTTTTTTAGACGGCAAGCGCTGTTCCGCACGAGTTGGCTGGTGAAGAATCCCGAACTCGCAATCGAGTCGTTGACTATGTGAATGCGCAAAGGATGCTTGGTGGCACCGCGCACGCTGAGCAACTGCTGCTGTATGTTTATGAATATTTTCTTCAATAAGTATGGTTAAGAGCTTATGTTAAATGAAGCGGTGACGGGGTCTTTTTTGGGAACGCATGTAAGACACGGATCTTTTTTGTCTTTTGCACAATTTCGTGGCACACTGTATGGGCACTTTTAACACGTTGACGACAGCATGACGCGCATGCGCGTCAGATTTTCGCCCGGATGGGGCTCGTTTTGGTCGGTTTATTTGGCATTTTTTCATATTTCAAAACTGTCTGGATGCATCATCTTATCCGGAAAACTGTGCACCAATTAACAGTGGTGGAATTGTTGAAGGAGTAATGTCTATTTTGAAAATAATAAACAAAAAGTTGCCGAGATGCGCGCACAACGGGCTGTCGTCAACGTGTTAAAAAGACGTGAGTCTTCAACATTCCCTTTTATGTCATTCTCAGGCAGTGGTTCCACTTCATAATTGTTACTACTGATACAGTTATAGATGTGACGGCTACATTGTTTTGCGTAGTTTCCTGCTAGTTGAACGAGAGAAATGGTTTTTTTGTTACAGAGGCTTGCACTGTCTTTCAAAACTATCTGTCACGTTTAAGGACCATATTAGAATTCCATGCGAATTTCGCTTCATTCCAGTCCTTGATTCTTCAGAAATTCATTTGCCATCATATGGACATAGCGTTTTTTTGTGAACAAATACCCTTTTCCTCGTAAGCTTGAATTAGAAAAGGACGAAAGAGTTCTCAGAGTGCATTTCTACTGTGAGACTTCGTTCTTCGCTTATTCCCTGTTTTCTATAAAATGCACATTCCAGTGAACTGAACTCGGCGGCGCAAATCAATCGTGGTCCGGATGGAGTTTTTGAGTCATCGCGTCTTCACTGGGACATGCTCTTAGGACGAGACGAACGAATCTTCCCATCTGATTATCTTAATTTCGATTCTAAAATGAAGTTCTGAACGTGGTTTGATTTGCCTCGAGATTTTTGATTTGACCACAAATGCTTCAGTACCTACCTACAGTGATCCTTGACTCTGAAATTTCTGTTCTGTTGTAGCTCGTCAACCTCGTTCTAATTTATTTTGTGATGATATGCAATAAAGTTTAGCAGTTCAGTTTTTGAAGTTGTTTTTATTTGTTCTATCCAATCAATACTTGTTAATCGTCCCAAGGGGTACTTTACTATCCTATTCTTTTCCATTATTTTTTCCGTAAGTTTATACTTTCCATTTGTAGCATCAGCAAGCCATGAACACGATGCGACCAGGGGCCTCAGGTATGATTTAATTGATTGCCATCGAAAATTCTCGAGTGATCCCTCACTTCTTGCACCCTGAGGGAATGTCCGCAAAATTGGGGAAGTGTCGCCACGTAGCAGTGATGACGGCAGGCCGTCATGGTCGTATTGCTGAAATTCAGTTACGTTTGCTGCGATGACTTGGCATTGCATTATTGGTCCCTCGTGACTTCATTGGTGCACGGAGCTCAGGTTGCTGTGTAGTTATTCTGAATATGGATTATTATTTCAATTCTCATAAGGTTTTTCGCGGTGGAGTAAGCTTTCAGGATGCATGACTAGTGAAGCCATGAGCATCTTTCAAGCATTAGATGAAATTCCTTCTGATTTGTCATTATCAAATATACTTTACTTTATTCTGTTTGGTCTCCTGAATCCGTATTAGAATAACTATGGTGGAAATCAATTTTTGCTTTTTAACCTTCGGCTTACATTAATTAAATCACACTTTTCAAAGCTCGATGCCATTTGCTCTTCTTTTTATATCAGGGGCGTATTGCTCGAGAAATTTCTCTCCCGTCACATATTAACTTTTTTCTTTGATCATATTTGTTCAATTTCTGAAAATATGCTTCTTTTTCGTTTAGTTAATGAGGCCAAATCCGTTGCATATCACCTTCAAGAATCCAAATTGGCCAGCAAACTTTATAACTCCTGAGAATGTTCTGGAATATTTTTGCAACTCTGACAATGCATTCTACGATAAAGGATCTTGTAACGAAAACGTGCGCATGCAAAACATCTCGCGACCGTTGGAGGAGTGTCTGCTGTAAGTTGCTTCCTGTATTTTCTGTTGTGTCGCCTATAGTGACGTGCACTCTAGAGATTATTGCGCGAAAAATCTTAAAACAATTTAGCTCTATGACTGGTATCCAATACGTGTTGTGGAGTGCGCAGCCGCCGCTTTATGTTATTTGTAAGCACAGAAGAAATAATATGCAGAATGGTACGTTGGTTTCACTTTTCATTCGATATTTTGATTACCCTTCTATGGCAGTTTTTACTCACTCGAAGTTCAGTTCTGTATCACACGGATTTTCAGTAACACCTCTTGCGTATTACTATATTATAAATGGCACCGTTTACCAAGCTCCAGACGTCTATACATTTGTTCAGTCGCGATTGCTCGGTGCTGTTGAGCCTCTGAAGAACGCGTTCGATCAGGTCGTACAGTATTCGAGGTGAAATTGGTTATCTCATATTTTTGTGATAGCGAACGTTCTCTAATCAATTATTTTCTAATTTAAATCTGAAAATTCTCAGGTATAATGTTGCAAAGGGTTACTATTGGCAGTTTGACAAGAAACCTGTGGTTAAAAAGGAAGAAGATAAGGTATTCCAATACCATGTCGTCGCTCATATTTTGTCACAATGATGATGTTTATCCATGCGCAATGCTTCTCTTTTAGCCAGAGGAGGAACAACCACTTCAAGCGCGCAGCACACACTTCCAGAAAACACGTACACATATGTTGATGCAGAACCTCTTTGAGATGTTCCCAGCTGGAAATGCTGTGGCAATTTCGGTTAGTGATTTGCTTAGAAACGCGAAAAGAAAGTCAATAGTTAAATTTTTCCCCAAATTGCTCCTCGCAGTCGTGGCTCTCTCCAAATTCGCTCTTTTCTCGGGGTTATCTACATTTTACCGCAGCGGTATCCGAGTAATTGGTTTGATGAGCCGCTACATGCGTCTCAAGAGTTACTGTGATGCAACCAAATATCCGCTTGAATTCGGGTAGTTTTTTGATGTCAAGAGAAGATGAAGCGATTTTTAGGACCCTCCTGAAAAGTCGGAACCAATGGATACCGAAGAAAAACCGGAAACGAATGGCGATCTAGCGGCACAACCAGTTGAAGGAACGGCTCCAATACCCAGCACTTCAGCCGCCAAGCCCAAGTAATCACGCACGAAATCAAAGGTTTAAGCTATTTATATTACTATAAACGTCGGGTATACAGGTTTTGTTATTACATTTGCACATATGATCTCCGATACATAAAATGTTCTTATTTTTGTTTTGGAATGAGAAATCTAGAGGCTTCGTAGTTAAAAAATCTGCAGTCAGGAGAGAATTTTGGGACTGTATTCCAGTTCTGAACAGTGTAAAAAATGCTTAGGTTTTACGAATAGACGGGCTGGGTTCTACTTCTAGATGTGAGTGACTGATTTGATCTGTATCAAGGGAAAGCTGCTGATTAACATTGGTCGTACCATTTCAAGTGATTATTTCGTTTCTGAGGCTATGTTGGCTAGTCTCAATAGTAACAACTTTGGTGAGCTACCTCGTACATTTGGTAAAAAACGTTGCACACCCCTTTGAAGTAGAATTTCGTCAATATCTTCCAAAGCGAACAGAGTATAGTCTAGTTTTGATAGGTTAAATCCCCATCGTTGCGCGAAGCTTCCTTAGGCACCCTCCCCCCCCCCCCATTGCTTCTCATTGTGGGGTATCTATAGAAGAAGAGAAAGCCTGTAGCCGAAAATGTGGCAGTTCTGTCTTCATGAAGGGAATCAACAGAGAAAAATACTTCGGTTATAATTAACATTACCCTTTTCTTCATTCTTTACAACCGCGTTGCGTGCGTCACTTCACTTTTTTAAAGCAACAGTCCAGGAACGAATTTGCGGGCCAAAAGCACCTATATGGAAGTTGTAGGTGAAAAGTGGTCGAACGTAAAGAGAAAAAGTGAAGAAAACGCCCAACTGGGGCTTAGACAGGGACATGCCCTGCCGTTTAGGGAGACGTGTGTTGGACGAGTTGTCCGAACCTGCCCGTAGTACATGCGCTTTAATTGCAACTGCTGGCAAATAGCTGCATGCTTGCAAATGGGTACCCCCCAGGAGGCCCGTCGCGCGGCAAAAAGGCAAAGTCAGCGGACGAGTCGCGCGCGTACTATAGGGATTTCGCGTCAAGTTAATAGAGTGTCCCACTGCACGTCCTACATCGCACACCACGCGCTGCAACTCGTCCGCCGACTCTGCCTTCTTGCCGCGCGACGGGCCTCCTGGGGGTAACCCCTTGCAAATACATAACTATTGCCAGCAATCGAAATTGAAGCGCTTCAATTGCGTTCTTATGGAATCGACCTCATACAGCGCGGCGGTCCCGCAACGACCGCTAGTCAAGCGCGGACTCTGCACAGCGTATGTTGGGCGATCCGCCTCTTTATGGGTGATCCGCCCCCTCCAAGAGGACTTCGACCCCTTCCAGCGCATTTTAGAGGTAGGTTTTGAAATTAAAGACATTTCCTATAAACTTTAGTTGGGCTGGGGCATGTTTTGACCGCCTAATGACCAAGTAGTTGAAACCCTGCCTGGACTGTTGCTTTAAATTCTTTTTTCAGTAGTCATAAATTCTCAACAATTTCATTATTAGTAATGAGCACAGTATTTCGCGGATCCATTAGTGTATATGGGCAGTTTTGAGACATGAAAAAATGGCAAATAAACAACGAAAAACGAGTCGCCTCCGAGTGGAAGTGTGGCCCACCGCGGGCCACACGTCACCCGTCAAAGATAAGGAAACGTCGTTAAGGCTGGTGTCAGAGTCCCGCGATCCGTCGCAGGTTTCGCTGATTTCCACGATTTGCGAGATTCACGCGATTTTCGCGACGGGTTATATGCCCGATTAATACTTCAGGTGTTCCTCCAATCCTGCCACCGATTCTGCTCGATAGTGGAATGCTGAAGACAGTGCTCAAATGATGCACTTGTTTCAGTTCAGTGTTTCAAAATGCCGCATAATGGATTTCTTGCGATCCGTCGCAGTTTCCGCGCATATCGCGAAAGTCGCGTGAACTCGCACAAAATCAACAAACCTGCACGGCATCGCGGGCTCTGAGCAACCATGGCCCACTTTCTGAGCGTTTTGAGAGCCTTGCCCATCACATGTTTAACTGCTCTCCAGTTTCCCACAGTTTCCTGATCGGTACATCGTCTTACCAACGCTGCCGTAACCTCTCGCATCATTTCTGTAACAGAACTTTCCTATTGTGAATAAATGCACCAAAGATCGCGCGCGATGACTTTTTCACATAAACGACAATCAAAATCAAGCGCTGCATCTGGAGATGGTAATTGGTGGCCAGAGCAGTGAGAACATAGTGACTGAAATCAACAGGTTGACCTCTGCAGCCGTTCTGCTAGATCCGATATCACAGGTAGATTGGAACTGGGAACATCAATGTGTGACTAACTCTACCCCCCCCCCCCCACGCATCTCTCCTCCATACGGTTGTGTCGCGGTCAGCCACTAGCCATTGGTTTTTTGGTAGTTGTTCCCAGCGTACCAGCAGACTACGTCAGCTCCATCGGCCTAGCAGCATGTTTACCACTTCAGAGATGGTGTGAATACTCCCATATTTTGATGGGAGTAGAGCGGGTGTATCTGAAGTCAATTCCTATTGTTAGTGTTTCTGTGAATCTTTTGGTGAATTGCCAGTCCCTCGCGAATCGACGTGCCAGGAACTGACACTGCGTGCAGCTCGGGAGCGGTAGGGGCGCCCTTGACGTCAAGAAATCGATAAGTGCGACGATTGAAATTTTTTGGTGAGAGACGCAGAGAGACGAGTTTCACGCCCCTGTTTCTGGAGTTTACGACACGATACGGAATGGGTTTACAGATCAATCACACGGGCGGAAGTGGTGTAGTGGCAAGTAATGCTGCTTACCACGCGCACGGTGTGGGAATCAAATCTTGAATTGTACGCCGTCCAAGTCAACCAAGGTTTCCGTCGCTCCGGCATAGTCGATGACAGACTGGCCTGGGAGGACAAAAACACTAATGTGGACATTTGCCCCCCGCAACCCACTGCATATTTGCAATTTGTAAAAGTGCTACACGATTCTGAATGGAAGCATGGTGCGCGGCGCACTCAAGGAATTGATTAAAGGCGGATGCTCTATGCTTTTTCTTTTACGAGATGATATGGAACACTACTTGGCGGTTGGTGCCTTCTTGAGCGTCATTCTAGAAATAGATCTTTACAGATCCGTAACAGATCTAGAATGCCTGGGCTGCTGTCCGTATTTAAATTTGCTTGGTTATTCAAAATTTGTTCGAATGGCTATTGCAATATTAAAAGCACTCGTTGAACACTTTTCGAAGATCACTTTGAAATTTCTTAAGATTCGCGTGTGGTTTTAGTTTTTTTTTTTAGTTTAGTT